TTTGAGATAAAATCTTGTAATACAGGGAGTTGGAGAGATGGCTCAGAGGTTAAGAGCACTGACTGCTCTTGCAGAGGACCCAGGTTCGATTCCCAGCACCTACATGGCAGCTACAAACCGTCCTGGAGTACAAAACTCCAGTTCCAGGGGAATCCGAAACCCTCTTCTGACCTCCGCAGCATTGCATGATATGGGTGTGCTCACATACATGCAGGCAATACACTCATAAAATAAAAATTATAAATTAAAAAAATCTTGCAATATAGCCCAAGCCACCCTGAAATTTAGGATCCTCTTGCTTCAGCCTCCAGAATGCTGAGCTAGCAGCCAAGTAGCACCATCCTTGGTGGCTCTTTTTACTTGGTGCTGAGGGTTGAACTTCTCAGGCTTAGCGCACACTAACATGCTTTGTCCTGGAGCTGTACCCACAGCTAGAATCTTTGTAGTAATACAAGACTGAAATGGGCAAGGGTTAGAATGGGCCACTGATAGAGGAGTGCCATGCTGCACATGGTAGGGAAAGGAGGAACTGCTTAGCATACCACTCAATTCTTCAAGTAATGTAAGCCGTTCTTTTAGAAGAAGCTCATGCAAGAAGCCATGAAAAATTTTCTCTGTTGAAGATGCTCATTGATGAACATCGATGTTGAACACAGCTGTTTTTAACTTGGAAAAACCTTAAAAGTGCTTAATGAATAGTTCAGATTATGGTTTTGATGTCGGAAAGCCTTAAAGATTCAGTATTTTGAGTGTGGTGGTGCACACCTTTAATCCCAGCACTCGGGAGGCAGAGGCAGGTGGATCTCTGAGTTCGAGGCCAGCCTCGTCTACATAGTGAGTTCCAGGACAGCTGGGGCTACAGGGAGACCCTGTCTCAAAAAGAAAAAAAAAGATTCAGTATTTTGGTACTACCTAACCTGTTTTCAAACACTCTAGGGGATTGTGATGAAGATCTTCACTGACTACTTGAGAAATTAGGGTTTAAAGAGAATATAATAGTGTTGCTACTTTTAAAAAAATAAGACATGATGTCAGGGCTCTACCATTGCACTACACCTCCATTCCTTTGCTTATTGAGAACACGGTCTTACTAGGTAACCCAGGCAGGTCTCAGACATGTGATCTTCTGCCTCAGCCTTGATAGTGCTGAGATTACAGGTATGTGATACTGTGCTAGCTTAGTGCTGCATTATAGGCTTACTAAGGTTTCATTTCTTAGGCTAATGGCTTTCAAACGTAGGCTTAGTTACTATAGATGTGTGTATATGTGTTTGGATGGGTTGAGACAGGGTCTCATGTTGTTGAGGCTAGCCTTGAACTCCTGATCCCCTCCCCTATATATACAATACATATATGAAACATTTACTGCAGTTCTAGGTAATTACTCTTATTGTTCAACACTGATTTTGATTTAGTCGCAGTGTGACCCTTGAGTTTGGTTTCATAATCAATGTCTCCATGGGTTTAATGATGCTCCTTCAGTGGTAAGTGTCCATGTGAGGGTGGCAGCATGATGGTTGAGGACATGTGATCCCTCTTTATTTCTCCCAAGGTGATTTATCTTCTGCTTTGAGGATATTTTATAATTATTTAATATTTTTCTGCTTTGCAGTCCAAGGTTGCCAATTGGCTTCCTTTTCATGACACATGGTTATAGTATTAAGCACTTTTCTGTTTCCTTGAATACCCTTTGGAGCAAGGCCAGGTGCGGTGGTTTACACCTTTAATCCCAGCACTGAGGAGGCAGAGGCAGAGGTAGGCGGATCTCTATGAGTTCGAGGCCAGCTGGGGCTATACAATGGGATCTTACCTCCAAAACAAAACAGAAAAACAGAACAGCTTTGGGGCCAGGAGTAGTTGCTCAAGCCTGTAATCCGAGCACTTAGGAGGTAGGATTGGGAGTTCAATATCTTTGACTTCGTAGTGAATTTGAGGCTAGCTTGTTTTACGTAAGACACTGTCTCAAAGACAAAAAAAGAAACAAAAGTACATTTTGGCTTTGGGGTCCAGCTCAACAAGTACAGGACTGGAGCATGAGGACCATGGTCAGTCAGCTGTGTTGCAAAGTGAGCAGTGAAACACTGCTTGAGAGTTTATATGCTCAAGGGACAAAGGTAAAGAAAAAACAATCTTGATGTGAAAGAACATTTTTACCTAAATCCACAGAGTGAACAGATCCCACAACTTGATATGCCAGCTTTAGAGTGATTGGCCAAGTCACTGATACTGAGTTAAAGTACGAAAACTCTAAATTCTATATTAGGGGGCTAGAAAGATGCTCAGTGCTTAAGAGTACTGACTGCTCTTGCCAAGGACTGGGTTTGATTTCCAGTACCCAGATGGTGGCTAAAAACTGTGACACCAGTTCTGGGGGATCCTGCGCTCTCTTCTGACTGACCTCCAAGGGCATTGCACAACACGGGTGCACTTACATAGGTGCAGGCAATATATACTCATACACATAAAATAAAAATAATAAAATATTAAATATGTTCTACATTAGTAAAATATAAATCTTTAGGTGAAGTACATTTTATGACTAACATTGATCCATTTATTGAGGATTATCTGTATCCTTGAAGGAGGAACTAGTATTACTCCCTTTGCACATGCAAAACTGAAATTTACAGTTGCTAAGAACTCTGAAGACCTCATTTTAGATCAGCTAGGTTAGGTGGTTCGTACCTGTAATCCTGGCACATGTGAGGCACAAGGAAGAGGATTTGAATTTAAGGCTAGTTTTACTGCATAGCAACTTCTAGGCCAGCTTGGAATACAGAGTGAGACCCTAGTATTACTCCCTTTGCACATGCAAAACTGAAATTTACAGTTGCTAAGAACTCTGAAGACCTCATTTTAGATCAGCTAGGTTAGGTGGTTCGTACCTGTAATCCTGGCACATGTGAGGCACAAGGAAGAGGATTTGAATTTAAGGCTAGTTTTACTGCATAGCAACTTCTAGGCCAGCTTGGAATACAGAGTGAGACCCCCATCTCAGAAAAACCCAGTTAAGGCTGGGCATGGTGGCACACGCCTTTAATCCCAGCACTCGGGAGGCAGAGGCAAGCAGATCTACATGGTGAGTTCCAGGACACCTGGGGCTACAGGGAGACCCCATCTCAAAAAGATCAAAAAATCCCCAAAAAACAACAACAACAAAAACCTAAGGACTGAGCAGAAGTATCAGTAGAATGATCTAGAATGATTAAGTGGTAAAGCTGGAATGGTCTTCCAGAAAATGGAACTCAGAGATAAGAGCTGGTTAGTAGAATAAAGAAAGAAGGTGATTAAAGGGGCAGCCTGGGTTTCCATTCCATTAAAAGGTGCTGCAGAGAGGGCAAACAGGAAAGGATACAAGTGGCAAAACCATGGCCGAAAACAGTTCTTAGAAAAGAAAAAGGGCTGGAGAGAGGGCTCAGGGGTTAAGAGCATTGGCTGCTCTTGCAGAGGACCCAGGTTTGATTCCCAGCACCCACATGGCGGTTAACAGCTTTCCGTTAACTCCAGTTATAAAGGATCCGACACCCTCTTCTGGTCTCCACGGGCATTTCATGACACAGGTGCACCTACCTATGTGCAAGCAATATATATATATATGAAGAGTGCCTTCCTATTGGAAGGTTCACTTCCTGCTGCGCAGC